GATCATTGCTAGACAACCATTTTCAGGTCTTGCCATAGATTGTCAAGTAGATTTAAGCCAAAACTGTAACTCTGTCACTCAGGAGCATTCACTGTCTTCTTGGTAAGCAACTCCAGTGTAGATTTGGCCTAATGTTTTAGGTTATTGTCCTGCTGAAAGGTGAATTCATCTCAGAGTGTCTGGTGGAAAGCAGACTGAACCAAGTTTTCCTCTAGGATTTTGCCTGTGCTTAGCTCCATTCCGTTTCTTTTTTATCCTGAAAAACTCCCCATTCCTAATGATTACAAGCATACTCATAACATGATGCAGCCACCACTATGCTTGAAAATATGCAGAGTGGTATTCAGTAATGTGTTGTATTGGATTTGCCCCTAACATAACACTTTGTATTCAGGACCAAAAGTTAATTGCTTTGCCACATTTTTAGCAGTATTACTTTAGTGCCTTGTTTCAAACAGGTTGCATGTTTTGGAATATTTTTATTCTGTACAGGCTTTCTTCTTTTCGCTCTGTCAATTAGGTTGGTATTGTGGAGTAACTACAATGTTGTTGATCCACCCTCAGTTTTCTCCTATCACAGCCATTAAATTCTGTAACTGTTTTATACCATTCCACTTATTCTGCTCCAGCCATTACAAGCCTGTCCTCCCCAGTTAAGGTCCCACCAACCTCCTGTGGTATGTACACATAAACAGTAAAATATATCATAAGAACGTCAATAAAAAAATGCAAAGTGGTAAGACCATAAAATTAAAAAAGGTTCAGTCATGTTCTAAAAGTATGATGAAAACAGTTTAGGTTGCTTGATTTTGACAGGCAGATAGAACTGGGATAGAAGCTGTTCTTGAACCTGTGATCCAGAAACTGCCTAGCAACCACTGGTCCTCACTAAAAAATAATAATAATAATAAAAAAGTGGTTGTGCCACTGGCTATCATAAGTTGAATGCACCAATTTGTAAGTCGCTCTGGATAAGAGCGTCTGCTAAATGACGTAAATGTAAATGTCCTCTCTGGCGACTGATTTAGGAAGGACTCCTGTATCTTTGTAGTGATTGGGTGTATTGATACACCATCCAAAGTGTCATTAATAACTTCACCATGCTCAAAGGGATATTCAGTGTCTGCTTTTTTAAATTTTGTATCTACTAATAGGTGCCCTTCTTTGCAAGGCATTGGAAAACCTCCCTGGTCTTTGTGGTTGAATCTGTTTGAAATTCACTGCTCGACTGAGGGACCTTACAGATACAGTGGGGGAAAAAAGTATTTAGTCAGCCACCAATTGTGCAAGTTCTCCCACTTAAAAAGATGAGAGAGGCCTGTAGTTTTCATCATAGGTACACGTCAACTATGACAGATAAAATGAGAAAAAAAAATCCAGAAAATCACATTGTAGGATTTTTTATGAATTTATTTGCAAATTATGGTGGAAAATAAGTATTTGGTCAATAACAAAAGTTTCTCAATACTTTGTTATATACCCTTTGTTGGCAATGACACAGGTCAAACGTTTTCTGTAAGTCTTCACAAGGTTTTCACACACTGTTGCTGGTATTTTGGCCCATTCCTCCATGCAGATCTCCTCTAGAGCAGTGATGTTTTGGGGCTGTCGCTGGGCAACACGGACTTTCAACTCCCTCCAAGATTTTCTATGGGGTTGAGATCTGGAGACTGGCTAGGCCACTCCAGGACCTTGAAATGCTTCTTACGAAGCCACTCCTTCGTTGCCCGGGCGGTGTGTTTGGGATCATTGTCATGCTGAAAGACCCAGCCACGTTTCATCTTCAATGCCCTTGCTGATGGAAGGAGGTTTTCACTCAAAATCTCACGATACATGGCCCCATTCATTCTTTCCTTTACACAGATCAGTCGTCCTGGTCCCTTTGCAGAAAAACAGTCCCAAAGCATGATGTTTCCACCCCCATGCTTCACAGTAGGTATGGTGTTCTTTGGATGCAACTCAGCATTCTTTGTCCTCCAAACACGACGAGTTGAGTTTTTACCAAGAAGTTCTATTTTGGTTTCATCTGACCATATGACATTCTCCCAATCCTCTTCTGGATCATCCAAATGCACTCTAGCAAACTTCAGACGGGCCTGGACATGTACTGGCTTAAGCAGGGGGACACGTCTGGCACTGCAGGATTTGAGTCCCTGGCGGCGTAGTGTGTTACTGATGGTAGGCTTTGTTACTTTGGTCCCAGCTCTCTGCAGGTCATTCACTAGGTCCCCCCGTGTGGTTCTGGGATTTTTGCTCACCGTTCTTGTGATCATTTTGACCCCACGGGGTGAGATCTTGCGTGGAGCCCCAGATCGAGGGAGATTATCAGTGGTCTTGTATGTCTTCCATTTCCTAATAATTGCTCCCACAGTTGATTTCTTCCAACCAAGCTGCTTACCTATTGCAGATTCAGTCTTCCCAGCCTGGTGCAGGTCTACAATTTTGTTTCTGGTGTCCTTTGACAGCTCTTTGGTCTTGGCCATAGTGGAGTTTGGAGTGTGACTGTTTGAGGTTGTGGACAGGTGTCTTTTATACTGATAACAAGTTCAAACAAGTGCCATTAATACAGGTAACGAGTGGAGGACAGAGGAGCCTCTTAAAGAATAAGTTACAGGTCTGTGAGAGCCAGAAATCTTGCTTGTTTGTAGGTGACCAAATACTTATTTTCCACCATAATTTGCAAATAAATTCATTAAAAATCCTACAATGTGATTTTCTGGAATTTATTTTCTCATTTTGTCTGTCATAGTTGACGTGTACCTATGATGAAAATTACAGGCCTCTCTCATCTTTTTAAGTGGGAGAACTTGCACAATTGGTGGCTGACTAAATACTTTTTTTCCCCCACTGTAATTGTATGTGTGGGGTACAGAGATGAGGTAGTCATTCAAAAGTAATGTGAAACACTATTATTGCACACAGAGTGGGTCCATGAAACTTATTATGTGACTTGTTAAGCAAATTGTTACTCCTGAACTTACTTAGGCTTGCCATAACAAAGGGATTGAATACTTATTGACTCAAGACATTTCAGCTTTTCATTAGTTATTAATTTAGAATTTTCTTTACAAACATAATTCCACTTTCACATTATGGGGTATTGTGTGTAGGCCAGTGACAAAAAATTCTCAATTTAATCAATTTTAATTCAGCCTGTAACACAACAACATTTTGAAAAAGTCAAGGGGTGTGAGGACTTGGGAGAATGATGATCTGCAACAGACAGCACATCTCAGTATCAGAAGTAAAAATACAGCCAGACTGGCCTGCTACTGTGCCTTTCTAGACCGAGAGTAGAACCACAACTGATCCAAATGGAGGGCTTTTGCGCCATTATTCAAATGACATTTTCACTGCAGCTTAGAGTAGAATTTTGTACTCAATTGAAAACAATAATGCAATTATTCATTCCATTGTGGTGTTGTAGGCTAGTCTAGGTAAGATAATTGTATTGTCCCTAAATAAGATCAATAGGGGAGCTTTTTGAGCAGTATGTCTCATGTCTTCACTGTCCTTTCATGCGCAATGATGCACCTGGACTCTCTGCTGCCTATCAGCTATTCCTATTTGTTCTTGTGGATTCATATAGAAATTGTATGCAGCTTTGAATGCTTTTATGTGTGGGATGATTGCTAGTTAGCTTATTGCAGATCTGGACAAATGATCCACCTACCACTATTGTCACCATGAATGGTGGATAGAGGGCAGGATAGACAGTTCGACTGGTAGACTATATTGACCTGTTGTATAGTAAAGGTTAGCGCATAACGGAAGTACCAAAACACCTTCATATAGCGGAGGCGCATGCAAGCAGATGAGGAAATTTGGCTAGGATGGAAGAAATTATATAGTAAAACTTGAAAAACACCCTACCCTCCCCTGTGCCTAATAAAAGAAACACACAACCCTCCCCAAAGCACAAATAAAGTTAGACAACCCTCCCCACCCCAGTACATTTCCCACCACCATTTTTGCATGTTGCATACAGCTTTCAGTGCAGTAGTATGCTGTTTACCCCTGCCTGAACGTGGTGTGCAACAGTCGGAAGTTGTCCGAATATCTCAAAATGTTGGTGGAAATTTTTTTATTAAGACAGTACGCATATTTTCCCTTTTTTTTGTGGGCATTAAATAGAGTTAAGGAGGAAACGGACTCGTTTGGAGCCTGAATGGAGGATGCTTTATATACGGGGGACACGACTGTTTAACCGGCTGGGCTGACTGCATTGACACCTAGACGTAATTCCACATCAGGAAGAACTACGCCCTCTAAGGGTCTCGGCGCTATCTACATTAGTATATTTGGTTGAATGATTGGTCTATGTTTTTTTTCTTGAACACTGATATAAAAAAATATCTGGTAAGAAAATTGACATTTATTTCACAGTTTTCTACTTGGATAGAAAAAATTACAGGGTATAAAAAATTATACCACACCGCATCTGAAGGCCATGAACAACTTCTCTGGTAGAAAACGGCCTATGTGGCATCGATGTTAGTCAGAAACATTTATTCTAGTGTCAAAATTGACTACAAAGTGAAAATAGGATAATTTCGGTCATAAAGTCAATCTTGTCCAAAACGGAGATTTGCGAGATAATTAGGATAAAAAAATTATGTCACTGAATGAAGGGTATGGTAACAGTTTTCCTTGGGTTGGCTTTATTTCAAACCACTGTAAGGCTGTACAGTCCAATATGAATGTCCAATACACACAGAATGTTGACTGGTGAGCTTAATGTGTTAAATATGGCATTATTCCACTAAATTTATGCGTTTTGATCAGTTTCAATGGGGTACTTTTATTTTGAAGGCCAACCGCAAATTCCACAATTGTGGCTAATCCTTGTGGCTAGCTTCACACAGGTCCTTCGATTTATAAACACGCCTCCTCTGACACATTACGGAAGTAGACTGCTCATCAAAACAATCAATTGATTGCGCCGAGCTTTTCATATCAAATTTGCAAGCCAATATTTTTGTCTTTCAACCAACGCAAGAATGGCACAGGAATTTGTGGAAACTAAACTTAGAGGAGACAAAGTTACAATATTTCTCAAACCGTCGTGCCCGTATTGCGTTACGGCCAAAGAGGTCTTGACAAAGTATAAATTCAAAGCTGGGCATTTAGAATTTATTGACATCACTGGACGGAGCGATATGAGTAGTTTACAGGACTACTTTTTGGAGATAACTGGCGCTCGGACGGTGAGTGTCTTCATTCGAGTATTGCCAGTATTTCAATTCGTTATTCCTTTTGTTGTTGTGGTGAGTGAGTGCAACACTGCATGCAACGTTGTATCGTCAGTTGGGCGCGATCTCAAAGATGGCTGTCACTCAATTGATGCTTTTTGAGAACAAAGAGTGCTTTTCGGTGAATGAGTTCATGACGAGCGTAATATCTCGACGTCTCAATTTTTTTGTATAGCAAAAGACCGATATACTGTAGTATAAAAAATATGCTGGCTATTGTACATGTACAAAAAAAAAAAGTGTTATTTCAACTGGGAACTCATGACGTCAGGGATTTTCAGGTCGGAAAGTCGGAGCTCTAGAAAGAGGCCCGAGTTCACGAGTTGGATTTCCGAGATGGATGACCGTTCAAATCGATTTTGCCCAGTCGGAGTTTTTTTTTTTCTCCGAGTTCCCACTTGCTTTGAACGCACAGACCGCGATCGGAACTCGGAGATTTCCGAGTTCCCAGTTGTTCTGAACGCGGCATAACAGTTCGATCTTCCACCCAATGACTCGGCAATCCATTAACGCTGATTGGCTTCAAGCTCATCACATGTGAATTTATTCAGCCGTTCATATTCATTTACTACCCCCTCATCCGTATGGATTCAGAATTCATGGTAGCAAATCGCTCATGCACAGCTGCACAGTTCGCCTGTCCTCAAGCAGTGGTGGAAAAAGTACCCAATTGTCATACTTGAGTCAAAGTAAAGATACCTTAATAGAAAATGACTCAAGTAAAAGTGAGTCACCCAGTAAAATCCTACTTGAGTAAAAGTCTAAAAGTATTTGGTTTTAAATATAATTAAGTATCAAAAGTAAGTGTACTGCTAAAATATACTTAAGTATCAAAAGTAAAAGGAGATATCATTTCAAATTCCTTATATTAAGCAAACCAGACCGCACCATTTTTATTTGTTTTTTAAATTTGGGGATAGCCAGGGGCACGCTCCAACTCTCAGACATAATTTACAAACGAAGCATGTGTTTAGTGAGTCCGCCAGATCAAAGGCAGTAGGGATGACCAGGGATGTTCTCTTGATAAGTGTGAATTAGACCATTTTCCTGACCTGCTAAGCATTCAAAATGTAACGAGTACTTTTAGGTGTCAGGGAAAATGTATGGAGTAAAAAGTATATCATTTTCTTTAGGAATGTAGTGAAGTAAAAGTATAAAGTTGTCAAAAATATAAATACCCCCAAAAAACTACTTAAGTAGTACTTTCATGTATTTTTACTTAAGTACTTTACATCACTGTTCTCAAGTGAACTGTCAAGCTGGCATGGATGCATTACACCGAGATTTAAATATTGATTTGACAGTCTGTTACATATCCCATCAACAATGAATATGACAGCGCTTATCAAATAAAGATGTATTATGCCAAACATGATAATTTCCTATCTGGTTAATGCTGGCCTGTTGATGGACTTCATGAGGATTCAGCTTCTCATGGATAACTATTTTTTTTAAGACTGGGTTTTTCTGGATCAAAAAGGGCCTTAGGTGGTGGGCATAGTCTGTGTCTGAATTTTTTTGAAATATTTAAAGGCACCCATCTTGGTGTTTTCTTTAGTAATTTTAGCATTTTTAAGCCAATTTCCTGCAATTCTCCATGGAGCTGAGAGAGAATTTTGCAGTTTTAAAGATAATTTCCTGCAATTCTATGCATTTTGCCACAGCTAATGCTGTGTTCTTTTGCTCAAACCTAATAACAAAATCAAAATCATCACTGTTAAATTCATTGTTTTGGGAATTTTCAATTCCCCTGACTATCTAGCTTTCATTTTGGTATTTGTTAGTTGTCAAAGATTATGGAAAAAAACAATTGGTTCCATTTATAATTTCTACATACTTTATCTGGTTTTAGTAGTTTTAAGTTTACACTGAAAGCGTTTTCCATCCCGAAAATTATTTTTAAAAAACGTGTACAGTTTGGACTGCCTGCCCAAGGGTTTCTTTAGCAGAAAAATCCCTGAATGACATGGCCTAGTAGTTTTGCGATTCTTAATGATGTTTTCCTCTGTGTGTGTGTGTGTGTGTGTGTGTTTGTGTAGGTCCCGCGGGTGTTCATCGGTGAGGAGTGTGTGGGAGGGGGCAGTGACGTGGCAGAGCTGGACGAAAGTGGGAAACTTGAGGGGATGCTGCAGTCCATTGGAGCGCTGCAGTGACACACACGTACACACTGCCCCAGGCATGTACACACACACAGGCTAGAGAACAGATAGCTCAGGGACCAGAGAACCACGCCACCTGCTGGCCAAACAGGTCCTCTGTGGCCACCTTGGGACACAACACATAGCCTAAGGGCCTAGATTAAAATAATATCTGTCCATTTAGGGGACCCTTTTGGTTTATGAATGACCCCAGAGGCAAAGGTATAGCCTCTTAAGTCAAAAGCTTCCACCAAGGTACAGAGAGTGGGGGCTATTCTCTTCCAGAAACTGACTAAATAATGTATGGATTCGGTTGTTGGTAGCTTCAATTTAGCCTTCCCTTTGAGAGCGAATGTGAGATTCCGTAATCTCACAACACAAGATTAGATCGACGTTTGCGATGCATGCGTCATACCCAGCATGTTAACAAGGCAGAAGGGAGTGAAGAGTGAAACGGAAGCATTTTTACCTGCAGCAAGGTATCCCTCAACCTCTCTGCTAGAGATCCCTACATACAGTATGTCTCAATACACCAGTTGACCTGTTAGTCACAACTGTTGTTGTTGGCAACATTGACACAACCAGAAAAAAAGCATAAATGCACGTTACTCATACACTTACATGTGACTTACTCTCTGTCACACACACGTGGATGAGGTGAAATTGAAGATGTTAAGATTACGCAAGGCTGATTAATTTAGCACTTATGCAGAGCCATTAAAACTACACTGCAACATTTTCAACATAAGGGGTCATGAGTAATAAAGGGCTTCCAATACACCCACAAAAAGCTTAGGAATTCAAGTAATTTGGTTATATTTCCAAAGTGTTTTGTGGTTTATGAGATTAAAATGGTTTCAAATCATATTGTGTGTATACATGTATGCAGTTTAAATTCAAGCCAAAAGCAACCAAGCTTCAGACTAACCTTCAACACATGACATGCAGTATGTGAACATGTATGTGCGTTATTAATGCACACTAACCACTAACACACACACACGTGACTGAAGACATCTCGTACCGAGCAGATGCATGTCAATGATTCAGTAGGCGACGTGCCAACGTGTTCTTCTAAAACATGTCTTTATTCCCAGTGACTCAGAGGTCACAACTATCACTATACACGACCATCCCCCGTGGCCAGAGGGCCACCATACCAAACACCCCGCACCCTCTAGTCTCCACATGCTGGGTGCATTACGCAGTTAGCTCTACTCCAGATGTAAAAAACACAAAACACCCCCTGGTACAGACAGTACACATTATAAAAATAGTCGCAGCACCGTCAAATTATAATCTCATGGCAAAAATGAGGTCAAACCAGAGGTTACGGTTTCAATGAACAGATCAAATAATTTGTTCATCACGCAAGGTGTGTATGTGGTGATTAAGTCTCCAGGTGCCCCAATGCTGTTAACACTTGGGTGCTCTCTTACGAGGATTTAGCATTGCAGAATAACCCAATAAGACAGCCATGTAGGACCACTATGTACAGTTATGTTGGCCTAGTCCCAAATCAACTCCTATAGCCCTAGGCACTTCTTGATGACCCATTACAGACATAAAAGAAGGGGACATTAAGTTGTGTGTAGGGTGTAGCCAATGACTATATATTGAATGGACAAAGCCTTTGATCCCGTGACACCATTCATTCCTATGTGAATACTCAATAGCGCATTGAAGCCAAATGAAGTCGGTTAAGATGGCGTCTCATGGAGACGTAACATGACCAGTTTGAGCTACTCCAGGAAGTGACGTTGCAGGCTAGCTCACTGCTGCCCCCTCTCATTGAGTAACTCAAGTTGAAGGCCAACCAGGGTACTGCAGGCTGCCAATATTAGCAACTAAATTATCCTTATAACTTATTCTGTGTGAGATTTTACTTTGTTCAAGGACATCTGGTATATTAGAAGCACTTTTTTTTGAGAGGGGGTAGTCGTTTTCCCCTGGGTGTAGCGCCTTGAGTTGATTTGGGACTGTAGGATTCTGTGCCCAGCATAGATTAGTTACAGACATCCTCTATAGACGCACAATCACCGGTCACGTTCATTAGACAGAACACTCCTAAACATTTTGGATACATTTCAGCATGTTCCTTTGAACGTTTCCGGGCACGTGTAAATGTGAGCACCTTCTCCGCTAAAAACAAAAATGGATACACAGTTATTTGCCTTGGAAAGGGCCATTTTCATACCGTTATCCATTGGGCTATAGATACACAGTCCTCCATGGACAGATAATGGTGGCGTTCCAGGTCATCTTTTTTGCATGTGCACAATGCTTGGAGAAGGATTTACATATCAGAAACCACATTAGTATGATATAGAAATCTTCTGAGCTATGCAGCCAGCGCAACTGCAAAAAGGACAAACCTGGAACGTGGCCATTTTATTTTTTTCACCCTGGTCTCCAGTGGAATTCTACTGTCATTTGAAATTCTCCCTGGTTAAGTAAATCGGTCATTTTGTCCCAAGGACACAGTCACGTGTTGGTCCTCGGGGACCGGAGTGCATCACAGTCTTATATGTCACCTCCCGTAGATAACGCCTTTCGACCAGGCCTCTTGGACCTTTCTGCTCTGCGCTGAACCCTCTGGGTCTTCTCCCGAACTGGCTAGCTTTCTGTCCCACTTCTTCACTGTCCATTTGAGGCAGATTGCTCAGAATTATATTCTGGTTTGTTTAATGCCTTCTCTCATTCTCTAAACTCTTCTCCCCCTCCTTTGTCCTCTGTCTCTCGCCCCACACCTTCCTCTTCTCCGCTCCGCCTCTCACTACTTCTCCAGGGTGTGGCGGCGAGTGGGTGTCACATGACGAGGCAGCGGGACTTCTTGAGTTTGCGTCGACGCTGCTGGTACTCGCTCAGTTCCTGCAGGTACCCTCGGGAAGGCCAGCGCAGTCTCTCCACCTGTTCCCGCTCCTCCTCTGTCAACCGAGACAACAAAAACATAAGGTTGCCGTGACGATATCATGTCACCCCGCTCTCTCACACACACATGGACACGCACACACACACAGTGGCAGTATTTATTTCTATCCATCATTGCCTAAATCAATATTTCTATAAAGCCATCATCAAGCCACATGCATGCTCTGCCTGATACACTTGTGTTTACACCCAAGAGCTGGACCAATGTCAGTAATATTGCGTAGTACTGTTTAGTCTTTGTATCGTGTATCACTTCACTTGTGCCCTTCCAGACCCGTCCATTTGACCTTAAATAAGCACTGGTGTACGATGAAAACATTGTTAATGGAAATAAACCTGTTCTAGATGCTACTAAACCTGCCCTGTGTGCTTATTAACCAGTGTGTGCTTTATAAATATGTCATAACCAGGGATGTAGTGGCTTGAAGAGCAGCAAGAAAGGTAAATGCTAACAATGCTAATTTAGCATCATAGGTGTGCAAGCTCTATTTAGAAAATATAAAGGTGTGTAAATGGTTTTTACATGCTATGATAATCCACTATTTCACTACATCATCAATCATAACTGCTTATTTGACCTGCAATATGTCCCCTTTCAGAATTAATATGTCCTCTACTTAATATGCTATCAAAACTGACAGTATGCCTATATGGGTTACACTTCACTACTTCCCTTTATCATACGGTCTACACAAATCTGTCATTAAAATGTCATTAGCTTTCACAACAGCTTTAGCTTATGGTGACTCATGCGTGCCCATTTGCTTAGTGGGTCGAAGCATCGATTTTGCAACACCAGTCATACTTAGTAAGTTGGTTTGAGTTATCGATATGTCCAATAACCTGTCCTGTGTCCGATGATTTCTCACCTGAGAGCTCCAGGAAGTCTGGCTTGTGACTGAAGATTAGGTAGTTATTGGCTATGAAGTGGAGGAGCCATACGTACAGCTGCTCTGCATTGTGGCACTGTAAGAGAGAAAGAGGTAGAAGGAGAGAGGGGAACAGTCAGCTATTTGAGCAAAGATGTATTGTGTAACTATTGAAGATAATTTATTCCACCCTGTATATTCTAACACCAGCAATGACTTCCACACGGAAAATGACATTTTCCAACCCTGTACATGTGCAATGTGCGTGCATGCATGCATATTCTCTGCTTTCCCTGCCTCCAGTGTTTTTAAACCAATGACCTGAAAGAACTGGATAGGTGATAGCACATTGGTGGGTTAATCTTTTACAGCGTACGGTACAAGTTGCTTTCATCAACCAAATCCTCTCAGGTTGTGGTAAGGATCACAAAAAAAAATACTATTATTTAATCATTTAATATTAGAAACATTGTTGAAACGTCAAGGGGTGCATCATCTCAATAGTCTGAAGTGACTTCCTTTCCTTGTCTTCGCTCACTCTACATCTCCACTGAGTGGAACGTGATGTGGTGGATGCTACTGAAGATAAGCTATTTTGTGTCAGAACACACCTACTCTCTTACTGAATCCCAAATCCTTCCCCTAGGCACTCCTGTAAATGCAGCCTGACCACATTAAACAGACGTAGGATATGTTACTTACATTTGTGTACCTCTATTTACTATGATGTGTTACGTTACGAATAAAATAATGGTTATGGTTACTTAAGATAAAAACAAAAAGTAGGGCAGTTGGTTGGGGAGGATGGGTTGGCAGATAACACGACCGTCTAGCAACCCAAAGGTTGCATGTTCGAGTCGTGTCGGGGACGACTGTAGCATTTTAGCTAACCCTTAACCTTTTCCTCACCTTAACCTTATTCTACTAACCTGCTACGTTAGTTCTCCTAACCTGCTGCGTTATCCACTAACGTTAGCCACAGATGCTAACGACGCAAGATGTATGATATGTAACATCATCCAATTCGTATGATATTGTACGACCGGGTATGATACTATACGTCCTCCAATTCGAATGATGTTGTACTACTACTATTCCATTCGTAATGTAACATATCATACTAAATGGAGGGATACAAATAAATGTCCCAAATCCTATTAATTGCCCTGAGGCCAGGTTGGTAGATTTGAAAGAATATGACGGGTATGAGAATCTTCACCATATTGCTCACACCTATCAAACGTTTCAGATCTACAGGAGTGCCACGAGGTTAAGGACTAGGCGTTTATTTGAAATGGAGAATATCTCACACACTTACCTTAGCCCTACGGAGAAGGCGGATCACACTGATGCCAGTTGATGCCAGCTCTCGGCTAGGCATGCTTTGGAGGTAGGCACACACACACACCTCACACAGGTGCTGCAGGCGCTTCACCTGGTACATCTCTGCACAGACCAGCACGGCCATCGCCTGCAACACACTGGCTGGACACACATACAGAGAGACACTGTCAAACATACTGGAGCCTCATTTAGAAAATCATCATACTCATGCACAGATTTGATCATAAATTGTGGTTGAAATCCACGCCATTGTTGTGATTTATAAATCACACAGACTGCAGTCAAATGTCTCCATTTGCTGTACTGTCAATCATATCACATTACACACACAGACACACACACACACAGCTGTGAAAAATAAACCAACTATAAGATAACAGCTCACCCTTCAAACAAATCAGCAAAATCTATTCATAATCATTTGGTCACAACTCCAATTTTTGATCCCCCCCAGCTGTCAATGTTTTGGGAGCACAGTCGAACCTCGGGCTAAGAGATATGTTTACATGAGCTGAAACACCGTCAATCATTTCACAGCTTCTGCTGAGCAGCACTGAGGATCCGGGCAGTGGCGTACCAGAGTTCACGGGGCCCTCAAGTCTGGCTAGGGTTTAACGTACACGTATTCGACCGAACCGTTGGTACGGGACCTCTGTCGGTCCGCATGTGATCCGACTGAATACATCAAAAAATATATTAAAATTTAGCCTATAGGCTTGACTAAATCTGAGCTAAAAAAACATTTCAGAGTCTATGTGCACATTCTCAAAATTCTGATCTTCATTGGCGCATTTCAATCTGTCCTTTTGTGAGTCGTAGCTGGGAGCTAGTTATGTAGATGGCGTAGGGTGGCGGTTGGAGGAGATTTCATAATCCCGTTTTGTGAACATTTGTGTTTCCATAGATTAAAGGCGATGCGAAGAGTATGTTGCCATGTCATAGAAAGCTAACACCTGCCAACACTCAACATGTCATTTCGACTCACCCAGCTTCTTACAACAGAGCAGACGGAAACAAAAAAAACAACACACTTCATCTCCCTCTGCATTCAAGGCCCTCGAGATTCTGAGGACAAATAAATTACAAGAGATTGATTGGATGTTTAAGCCGCGACGTCGCAACTTTGGTTTTAAAATGGTGGGGGGGGGGGGGCATTATTTAAAAATATATATATATATACAGTGGGGAGAACAAGTATTTGATACACTGCCGATTTTGCAGGTTTTCCTACTTACAAAGCATGTAGAGGTCTGTAATTTTTTATCATAGGTACACTTCAACTGTGAGAGACGGAATCTAAAACAAAAATCCATAAAATCACATTGTATGATTTTAAAGTAATTAATTTGCATTTTATTGCATGACATAAGTATTTGATACATCAGAAAAGCAGAACTTAATATTTGGTACAGAAACCTTTGTTTGCAATTACAGAGATCATACGTTTCCTGTAGGTCTTGACCAGGTTTGCACACACTGCAGCAGGGATTTTGGCCCACTCCTCCATACAGACCTTCTCCAGATCCTTCAGGTTTCGGGACTGTCGCTGGGCAATACGGACTTTCAGCTCCCTCCAAAGATTTTCTATTGGGTTCAGGTCTGGAGACTGGCTAGGCCACTCCAGGACCTTGAGATGCTTCTTACGGAGCCACTCCTTAGTTGCCCTGGCTGTGTGTTTCGGGTCGTTGTCATGCTGGAAGACCCAGCCACGACCCATCTTCAATGCTCTTACTGAGGGAAGGAGGTTGTTGGCCAAGATCTCGCGATACATGGCCCCATCCATCCTCCCCTCAATAGGGTGCAGTCGTCCTGTCCCCTTTGCAGAAAAGCATGATGTTTCCACCTCCATGCTTCACGGTTGGGATGGTGTTCTTGGGGTTGTACTCATCCTTCTTCTTCCTCCAAACACGGCGAGTGGAGTTTAGACCAAAAAGCTATATTTTTGTCTCATCAGACCACATGACCTTCTCCCATTCCCCCTCTGGATCATCCAGATGGTCATTGGCAAACTTCAGACGGGCCTGGACATGCGCTGGCTTGAGCAGGGGGACCTTGCGTGCGCTGCAGGATTTTAATCCATGACGGCGTAGTGTGTTACTAATGGTTTTCTTTGAGACTGTGGTCCCAGCTCTCTTCAGGTCATTGACCAGGTCCTGCCGTTTAGTTCTGGGCTGATCCCTCACCTTCCTCATGATCATTGATGCCCCACGAGGTGAGATCTTGCATGGAGCCCCAGACCGAGGATGATTGACCGTCATCTTGAACTTCTTCCATTTTATAATAATTGCGCCAACAGTTGTTGCCTTCTAACCAAGCTGCTTGCCTATTGTCCTGTAGCCCATCCCAGCCTTGTGCAGGTCTACAATTTTATCCCTGATGTCCTTACACAGCTCTCTGGTCTTGGCCATTGTGGAGAGGTTGGAGTCTGTTTGATTGAGTGTGTGGACAGGTGTCTTTTATACAAGTAACGAGTTCAAACAGGTGCAGTTAATACAGGTAATGAGTGGAGAACAGGAGGGCTTCTTAAAGAAAAACTAACAGGTCTGTGAGAGCCGGAATTCTTACTGGTTGGTAGGTGATCAAATACTTATGTCATGCAATAAAATGCACATTAATTACTTAAAAATCATACAATGTGATTTTCTGGATTTTTGTTTTAGATTCCGTCTCTCACAGTTGAAGTGTACATATGATAACAATTACAGACCTCTACATGCTTTGTAAGTAGGAAAACCTGCAAAATCAGCAGTGTATCAAATACTTGTTCTCCCCACTGTATACATAGTTGAAGTCAGAAGTTTACATACACCTTAGCCAAATACATTTAAACTCCGTTTTTCAAAATTCCTGACATTTAATCCTAGTAAAAATTTGCTGTCTTAGGTCAGTTAGGATCACCACTTTATTTGAAGAATATGAAATGTCAGAATAATAGAGATAATTATTTATTTCAGCTTTTATTTATTTCATCACATTCCCAGTGGGTCAGAAGTTTACATACACTCAATTAGTATTTGGTAGCATTGCCTTTAAATTGTTTAACTTGGGTCAAACGTTTCAGGTAGCCTTCCACAAGTTTCCCACATTAAGTTGGGGGAATTTTGGCCCATTCCTCCTGACAGAGCTGGTGTAACTGAGTCAGGTTTGTAGGCCTCCTTGCTCGCACAAGCTTTTTCAGTTCTGCCCACACATTTTCTATAAGATTGAGGTCAGGGCTTTGTGATGGCCACTCCAATACCTTGACTTTGTTGTCCTTAAGCCATTTTGCCACAACTTTGGAAGTATGCTTGGGTCCATTGTCCATTTGGAAGACCCATTTGCGACCAAGCTTTAACTTCCTGACTGATGTCTTGAGATGTTGCTTCAATATATCCACATAATTTTCCTTCCTCATGATGCCATCTATTTTGTGAAGTGTACCAGTCCCTCCTGCAGCAAAGCACCCCCACAGCATGATGCTGCCACCCCCATGCTTCACAGTTGGGATGGTGTTATTTGGCTTGCAAGCAGTCCCCTTTTTCCTCCAAACATAACGATGGTCATTATGGCCAAACAGTTCTATTTTTGTTTCATCAGACTAGAGGACATTTCTCCAAAAAGTACGATCTTTGTCCCCATGTGCAGTTTCAAACTGTAGTCTGGCTTTTTTATGGCGGTTTTGGAGCAGTGGCTTCTTCCTTGCTGAGCGGCCTTTCAGGTTATGTCGATATAGGACTCGTTTTACTGTAGATATAGATACTTTTGTACCTGTTTCCTCCAGCATCTTCACAAGGTCTTTTGCTGTTGTTCTGGGATTGATTTGCACTTTTCGCACCAAAGTACGTTCATCTCTAGGAGACAGAACGAGTCTCCTTCCTGAGCGGTATGACGGCTGCGTGGTCCCATGCTGTTTATACTTGCGTACTATTGTTTGTACAGATGAACGTGGTACCTTCAGGCGTTTGGAAATTGCTCCCAAGGATGAACCAGACTTGTGGAGGTCTACAATTCTTTTTCTGAGGTCTTGGCTAATTTCTTTTGATTTTCCCATGATGTCAAGCAAAAAGGTACTGAGTTTGAAGGTAGGCCTTGAAATACATCCGCAGGTATACCTCCAATTGACTCAAATTATGTCAATTAGCCTATCAGAAGCTTCTAAAGCCATGACATCATTTTCGGGAATTTCCCAAGCTGTTTAAAGTCAATTTAGTGTATGTAAACATCTGACCCACTGGAATTGTGATACAGTGAATTATAAGTGAAATAATCTGTCTGTAAACAATTGTTGGAAAAATTACTTGTGTCATGCACAAAGTAGATGTCCTAACTGACTTGCCAAAACTCTAGTTTGTTAACAAGACATTTGTAGAGTGGTTGAAAAACAAGTTTTAATGGCTCCAACCTAAGTGTATGTAAACTTCCGACTTCAACTGTATATATATCCAGTCGGATAAACACTCCAAACAGCCTACCTGACCGCTCTGAGGCGTCCACATGGTCCTAAAGCACACCGTTGCCACGTTTTGTATCACATTCCAATGATAAAATTGGGGGGGCCAAAAATGCAATTTCAGAATGTGGGGGGGACATGTCCCCCCCGTCCCCAGTAAAATGTGCACCCCTGGCCGCGGATATGCGCCCATTTTCTGTGGTTGAGAAGAATAGGGGGTTTCAGCACCTCATGAAAGTGCTCAAACAACGTTACGAACTTCGCTCTCTCGCACCCATTTCAGCAAACTGGTAGTATCCGGTCTATATAAGCAAACTAAAGCCGAAGTTGTCAATGAATTGGCCAATGCACCCTGTGTTTTGCTTAATACAGATGGATGGACACAGAGAGCTACTTAATAGTGATAGGCCATCACATTACCCCGGAGTGGGAAATGAGAAGTACCGTTCTACAGACACGCCCCCTTTATGAGAGTCACACCTTTTTTTTTCTTCTTTGTAAGAAACCATTATACAATATCTGAGCCATGTTATATATTGATTTCACATGCATGTTGCACTTTATTTTAGTGTTGTTATTGATGAGTAATCGTGTTTTCATTTAAGAAAATACAAAGTGTTGGTATTCCTGATTGTGCTCTCATCATTACATGACCCATGATCATACTGTATATGGAAACAGGAATACCAACACTTTATCTTTTCTTAAATGAACAAACATTTACTACTGAAACCAAACCAAACTGGGTTTGGTGAACTGTTACACCCCTAGTCTGAGCTAAAGCAAATTTCCTGCATTTCTACACATATTGGCATGGGACAGCAAGAAACATTTGCAGTTTTATAGCTAATCTCATGCTATTCTATACATTTTGCAATGAGGCTGAGATTATTATAGTGGACCACAGGAGGTTGGCGGCACATTAATTGGGGAGGACGGGCTCGTGGTAATGGTTAGAGGAGCCGTCCTCCCCTCAACAGCCTCCACTGCAGTGGACCCGGGGCTTGTTCACTGACAGGTTGCAACTAGAAATACACCACACAGAACAGGCATGGTTCTCAGTCTATTCAACACGACAGCTCTATTCGTTACATTTCTATCTGAACTTTAGGATTCTGTTCTACTGGGTGTACAGGCTTTTGCTCCAGCCCTGCTGAATCACATCTGTTTCTAGGGAATCAGCTGCTCATAATAAGGACCTTAATTGGCTGAATACTGAGTGTTATGCTGCGTTTAGACAAGGGACGGAAAAGAACGTCATACCATTTGGTATAGTGGGACAAGAAAGTAAGAAAGAGGGTGGCAAGTCCCGTCTACCGTGACGGCTGACGGCATTCAACGCCAGCCTCAACGGCATTTACCTTCGTGCTCTCATTGAAAACAATGACATCCGGTTTGCCGTCTACCGTATTACTCGTATCAACTAAACACAACATAAGTTAGAGCAAGGTTGGAACAATAGCTCTCCAGAATGATGGTTTGGCCACCCCTGGTCTCAAGACCATGTCTAGGCCTAACCCATGTCTACCCGGAGTGGGACCTACAGTGAGGGAAAAAAGTATTTGATCGCCTGCTGATTTTGTACGTTTTCCCACTGACAATGAAATGATCAGTCTATAATTTTAATGGTAGGTTTATTTGAACAGTGAGAGACAGAATAACAACAAAACAATCCAGAAAAACGCATGTCAAAAATGTTATTAATTGATTTCCATTTTAATGAGGGAAATAAGTATTTGACCCCCTCTCAATCAGAAAGATTTCTGGCTCCCAGGTGTCTTTTATACAGGTAACGAGCTGAGATCAGGAGCACACTCTTAAAGGGAGTGCTCCTAATCTCAGCTTGTTACATGTATGAAATACACCTGTCCACAGAAGCAATCAATCAATCAGATTCCAAACTCTCCATCATGGCCAAGACCAAAGAGCTCTCCAAGGATGTCAGGGACAAGATTGTAGACCTACACAAGGCTGGAATGGGCTACAAGACCATCGGCAAGCAGCTTGGTGAGAAGGTGACAACAGTTGGTGCGATTATCCGCAAATGGAAGAAACACAAAATAACTGTCAATCTCCCTCGGCCTGGGGCTCCATGCAAGATCTCACCTCGTGGAGTTGCAATGATCAGGACTGAAATCCTGCAGTGCCCGCAAGGTCCCCCTGCTCAAGAAAGCACATATACAGGGCCGTCTGAAGTTTGCCAATGAACATCTGAATGATTCAGAGGAAAACTGGGTGAAAGTGTTGTGGTCAGATGAGACCAAAATCGAGCTATTTGGCATCAACTCAACTCGCCATGTTTGGAGGACGAGGAATGCTGCCTATGTCCCCAAGAACACCATCCCCATCGTCAAACATGGAGGTGGAAACATTATGCTTTAGGGGTGTTTTTCTGCTAAGGGGACAGGACAACTTCACCGCAGCAAAGGGACGATGGACTGGGCCATGTACCATCAAATCTTGGGTGAAAACCTCCTTCCCTCAGCCAGGGCATTGAAAATGGTTCATGGATGGGTATTCCAGCATGACAATGACCCAAAACACACGGCCAAGGCAACAAAGGAGTGGCTCAAGAAGAATCACATTAAGGTCCTGGAGTGGCCTAGCCAGTCTCCAGACCTTAATCCCATAGAAAATCTGTGGAGGGAGCTGAAGGTTCGAGTTGCCAAACGACTTGGAGAAGATCTGCAAAGAGGAGTGGAACACAATCACTCCTGAGATGTGTGCAAACCTGGTGGCCAACTACAAGAAACATCTGACCTCTGTGATTGCCAACAAGGGTTTTGCCACCAAGTACTAAGTCATGTTTTGCAGAGGGGTCAAATACTTATTTCCCTCATTAAAATGCAAATCAATTTATAACATTTTTGACATGCGTTTTTCTGAATTATTTTGTTGTTATTCTGTCTCTCACTGTTCAAATAAACCTACCATTAAAATTATAGACGGATCATGTCTTTGTCAGTGGGCAAACATACAAAATCAGCAGGGGATTAAATACTTTTTTCCCTCACTGTATACAAAGTGCCTGTTTTTTTCCCGCCCTGCAGCAGTGGACCCACCGGGACAGCAGGTGTCTGTGTAGAGATACTCCAGGAAGGAGAGGAAGGTGTCAGAGGAGACTCCGTGGATGGGCACCACCCGACTCCGTGCCTCCGCGTACTTCCCGCTGAACATGGCCGCCATGACATCGCAGCGAGCCACCAGGACCGCCCGGTGAGCTGGTAACACACTCCCTGAAACACAGTCTATTTTTAAATGTAATCCTTATTTTACCAGGTTACCTTGTTGAGAATACATTTTCCTTCCCAGCTAAGCCTTGGGGAAGAGTTGCAGGAGGAGAGGGGTTGAATGATGGTTCAGGTGAAGAGAAATAGCTTTCGGTAACGCGTTGCTAATCACACCCTGACATACCGCTGTTGTAAGGGGGAAGGTTTTTAGTCTCTTCACGATACAGCTGAGGATAATAGCCACAGCTATTCTCTGTATTTTGTACTTTTCTCGAAATAAACAGAAAAGCCTCTACATTACAGCTTCACATCAGACAATCACGTCTACCGAATGATCTGCTCATGCACAGTCTAGGTGCAAGGCGTAATGAATCTAAAACTGTCATAGTTATGAATTGATGCCTTTCAGAACGGGTCGTTTAAATTAACCCAGAGCTTATGACAACTATAAAGCATGACATAATGGTTGTCTTGAAGTCTGACAGGCATTGTGTCACTCTTATGACAGCCCTCTCTATAGTTGGGTGCAGCGCAGGTGAAGGACGTGCTGTAAAGTGGATACATTTGAAGTGTCAGGGGCATATTTTTGTATATATATATATATATATATATTTCATTACATGGGTTATTGTAGATGATTGCTTATGAACTTGGAGCTTGGCATCACCCTGCGAGAGAGTTTGTCATAAAAACAATGTACCGTTGCTGCAGCAAAGGCATTTATAAAATTGTGAACATAAAATAAAATCTGTAAACATAATATCAGGGTGTCTTTAACATTACTGAGCTCTTATAAACAAAACAGAATAATTGTACAAAATCTGGCATGAATGTCTAAAGCACTGTGACTATTGTATATCAAGTGTCATTCGAGGCACCCTAAATATGTTGATGCCATTTTCTTCTCTGGTGCAATAATGAAATGGACTGACTACCTGAGGGCCCCCAGTGAGGAAATAAGTTAATCATCTGTAATAAAAAAAGGTGACTTGGTGTGTGTGTGTGTACTTGCCTTGCACCATGAAGATGACATCAGAGTAGAGAGGAGAGTTGAAGAGGTTGACCAGAGACTGAGGACCAAGCTGGGGGGGACGAGCATTAGGCGTGTCCCTGGGGCCCTACACACACACACAGGCGAGCACATGCGTACATACACATGCAAGCACAAACACACACACATACAGGCACACACAGCGTGGGTTATGTCTGAGGATTCCACCACTGTTGGTATTTACTACCATGAGTGCTATTCATTCTGAGCTTCCATCTCCACCTCCCCCGTGGCATAGAAATAGCCTGTCTGCAAGCCTGCCTCAGCAGCAGCCAACTCCACTGTCCCTGCCCTCCCTGCCAAGACCGCCTCAATGGAGCTGGCTAATGCTGAAACAGACTGGCAGGCAGGCTCGTTTCCAGAGCAGTCTGCATATCAAACCCATTTGCTTCATTATGCTGCAGTGATATAACATCGCTCGCATGGTGAATATAGCCAGAGACTGCTGGTTTAGAGTAAACAAATCACTGCTTAGTGAATCCTGGAGACGGATTGGAACCAAACGTATGACTTGTATTGAGAAATGCTACGTGAAAATAATGAGTGCAAAAATGACACTTCACTTCTGATGGAATTGAAATAGAAGGAACTCAAGCCTAATCTAATTATGACCCTGCATGTCACATGTCTCCTGATGTTAAGGCAGCCCACATCCCATTCCCCTTTGCTCAATCTGAGAGTAAACATTATCCCAATTCAATCAATTAGTGCACTGCTAGTGCACTGCTTTTGACCAGAGCCACATGTATTGTGTTATATGGGGGAATAGGGTATCACAGGGTGTGTGTGTGTTTGTTTGTGCATGCGTGAATCCATGTAAGCCATGGGTCACCTTGTCTCTGCCCAGGAAGGAGCGGATGCGGTCCATGAGTTGAGCCACGGCCAGAGAGTTCTTCAGCTTCTCCCCCACAGCCTCCTGAAGGTGCTCCCACTCCCACGCCCCTGGGTCACACCAGAACCACAGGCATTCAAACACTTATATATACCACAGCAACAGACAGACTCATATACAGTATATAAACACTCATACCGTATAAAGTGCATTCGGAAAGTATTCAGACCCTTTCCATTTTTCCATATTTTGTTACGTTACAGCCTTATTCTAAAATTGAATAAATAAATGTTCCTCATCAATCTACACATAATACCCCATAATGACAAAGCGAAAAACAGGTTCTTAGAAATGTTAGCAAATGTATTAAAAATTAAAAATAGAAATACCTTATTTACATAAGTATTCAGCCCCTTTGCTATGAGACTCAACATTTTGCTCAGGTGCATCCTGTTTTCATTGATCATCCTTTAGATGTTTCTACAACTTGATTGGAGCACCTGTGGTCAATTCAATTCATTGGACATGATTTGGAAAGGCACACACCTGTCTATATAAGGTCCCACAGTTGACAGTGCATGTCAGAGCAAAAACCAAGCCATGAGGTCAAAGGAATTGTCTGTAGAGCTCCGAGACAGGATTGTGTTGAGGCACAGATCTGGGGAAGGCTACCAAGAAATGTCTGCAGCATTGAAGGTCCCCAAGAACACAATGGCCTCCATCATTCTTAAATGGAAGATGTTTGGGACCACCAAGACTCTTCCTAGAGCTGGCCGACCGGCCAAACTGAGCAATCGGGGGAGAAGGGCCTTGGTCAAGGATGTGACCAAGAACCCGATGGTCACTCTGACAAAGCTCCAGAGTTCCTCTGTGTAGATGGGAGAACCTTCCAGAAGGACAACCATCTCTGCAGCATCCCACCAATCAGACCTTCATGGTAGAGTGGCCAGACGGAAGCAACTCCTCAGTGAAAGGCACATGACAGCCCACTTGGAGTTTGCCAAAAGGCACCTAAAGGACTCTCAGGTCTGATGAAACAAAGATTGAATTCTTTGGCCTGAATGCCAAGTGTCACGTCTGGTGGAAACCTGGCACCATCCCTACGGTGAAGCATGGGTGGTAGCATCATGCTGTGGGGATGTTTTTCAGCGGCAGGGACTGGGAGACTTGTCAGGATCGAGGGAAAGATGAACTGAGCAAAGTACAGAGAGATCCTTGATGAAAACCTGCTCCACAGCGCTCAGAACCTCAGACTGGGGCGAAGGTTCACCTTCCCAACAGGACATCGACCCTAAGCACACAGCCAAGACAGCGCAGGAGTGGCTTCGGGACAAGTCTCTGAATGTCCTTGAGTGGCCCAGCCAGAGCCCGGACTTGAACCCGATCGAACATCTCTGGAGAGACCTGAAAATAGCTGTGCAGCGACGCTCCCCATCCAACCTGACAGAGCTTGAGAGGATCTGCAGAGAAGAATGGGAGAAACTCCCCAAATACAGGTGTGCCAAGCTTGTAGCATCATACCCAAGAAGACTCGAGGCTGTAATCGCTGCCAAAGGTGCTTCAAAAAAGTACTGAGTAAAGGGTCTGAATATTTATGTAAATGTAAACATTTCTAAAAACCTGTTTTTGCTTTGTCATTATGGGGTATGTGTAGATTGATGAGGACAAAAAAACTATTTAATCCATTTTAGAATAAGGCTGTAACGTAACAAAATGTGGAAAAGGTCAAGAGGTCTGAATACTTTCCGAATGCACTGTATATCATAGAAACACTATAATACTCATATATATATATATATATATATATATATATGTATATATATATATATATATATATACAGTTGAAGTCGGAAGTTTACATACACTTAGGTTGAAGTCATTAAAACTAGTTTTTCAACTACTCCACAAATTTCTTGTTCACAAACTATAGTTTTGGCAAGTCGGTTAGGGCAAGTAATTTTTCCAACAATTGTTTACAGGCAGATTATTTCACTTATAATTCACTGTATCACAATTTCAGTGGGTCAGAAGTTTACATACACTAAGTTGACTGTGCCTTTAAACAGCTTGGAAAATTCCAGAAAATGATGTCATGGCTTTAGAAGCTTCTGATAGGCTAATTGACATCATTTGAGTCAATTGGAAGTGTACTTGTGGATGTACATCATGGGAAAATCAAAAGAAATCAGCCAATACCTCAGAAAAAAAAAAGTCTGGTTCATCCTTGGGAGCAATTTCCAAACGCCTGAAGGTACCACGTTCATCTATACAAACAATAGTACGCAAGTATAAACACCATGGGACCACGCAGCCGTCATACCGCTCAGGAAGGAGACGCGTTCTGTCTCCTAGAGATTAACGTACTTTGGTGCGAAAAGTGCAAATCAATCCCAGAACAACAGCAAAGGACCTTGTGAAGATGCTGGAGGAAACAGGTACAAAAGTATCTATATCTACAGTAAAACGAGTCCTATATCGACATAACCTGAAAGGCCGCTCAGCAAGGAAGAAGCCACTGCTCCAACACCGCCATAAAAAAGCCAGACTACGGTTTGCAACAGCACATGGGGACAAGACCTTACTTTTTGGAGAAATGTTCTCTGGTCTGATGAAACAAAAATAGAACTGTTTGGCCATAATGACCATCGTTATGTTTGGAGGAAAAAGGGGGTTGCTTGCAAGCCGAAGAACACCATCCCAACCGTGAAGCACGGGGATGGCGGCATCATGCTGTGGGGGTGCTTTGCTGCAGGAGGGACTGGTGCACTTCACAAAATAGATGGCATCATGAGGAAGGAAAATGATGTAGATATATTGAAGCAACATCTCATGACATCAGTCAGGAAGTTAAAGCTTGGTCGCAAATGGGTCTTCCAAATGGACAATGACCCCAAGCATACTTCCAAAGTTGTGGCAAAATGGCTTAAGGACAACAAAGTCAAGGTATTGGAGTGGTCATCACAAAGCCCTGACCTCAATCCTATAGAAAATGTTTGGGCAGAACTGAAAAAGCGTGTGCGAGCAAGGAGGCCAACAAACCTGACTCAGTTACACCAGCTCTGTCAGGAGGAATGGGCCAAAATTCACTCAACTTATTGTGGGAAGCTTGTGGAAGGCTACCCGAAACATAAGACCCAAGGTAAAAAATGTAAAAGCAATGCTACCAAATACTAATTGAGTGTATGTAAACTTCTGACTCACTGGGAATGTGATGAAAGAAATAAAAGCTGAAATATATCACTCTCTACTATTATTCTGACTTTTCACATTCTTAAAATAAAGTGGTGATCCTAACGGACCTAAAACAGGGAATCTTTACTAGGATTAAATGTCAGGAATTGTGAAAAACTGAGTTTAGATGTATTTGGCTAAAGTGTATGTAAACTTCTGACTTCAACTGTATATATAGATGTGGTAAAGAGGTCAATGGAATGCAGACCATGAGGGAAAGAAATTGGTGCCCATTCAAAAAATCTGATCTAACAAATTGGATATTCCTCAAATCCGTCATGATGTAAGTGTTCTAACAGGCCCACAATGTGGTTACTAAAATCCGATCTGGAAATATTTGTCATTTTCGGGTTTAGAAAAAATGTCTGCTAAATGCTAACTCCCGTTCATGTAAGCTGGTAGCATGGCTAGCCATGTGGAAATGGGTCGTTTTTTAAAAGTGTAATGCAGTTGATTGGCAACGATGACGTGGACATGTACTGGGGTTGACATCCATATTAGCATTATACTCTGATCTTTACCCCAAAATAGTGTGACATACACATTAACCTTAATGCTAATTTTGCTGGGCGGCATTGAGGAGTATAATGCTAATATAGAAAATGTTAATACTAATTGTAATTATTTTGCACTATAGCCTATTTATTTATAGCCTATTGCCTTACCTCCATAACTTGCTACATTTGCACACACTGTATATATATTTTCTGTTGTATTTTTTGACTTTGTTTTTTTTACCCCATACAGTGGGGAAAAAAAGTATTTAGTCAGTCACCAATTGTGCAAGTTCTCCCACTTAAAAAGATGAGAGAGGCCTGTAATTTTCATCATAGGTACACGTCAACTATGACAGACAAATTGAGGAAAAAAAATACAGAAAATCACATTATAGGATTTTTAATGAATTTATTTGCAAATTATGGTGGAAAATAAGTATTTGGTCACCTACAAACAAGCAAGATTTCTGGCTCTCACAGACATGTAACTTCTTCTTTAAGAGGCTCCTCTGTCCTCCACTCGTTACCTGTATTAATGGCACCTGTTTGAACTTGTTATCAGTATAAAAGACACCTGTCCACAACCTCAAACAGTCACTCTCCAAACTCCACTACGGCCAAGACCAAACAGCTGTCAAAGGACACCAGAAACACAATTGTAGACCTGCACCAGGCTGGGAAGACTGAATCTGCATTAGGTAAGCAGCTTGGTTTGAAGAAATCAACTGTGGGAGCAATTATTAGGAAATGGAAGACATACAAGACCACTGATAATCTCCCTCGATCTGGGGCTCCACGCAAGATCTCACCCCGTGGGGTCAAAATGATCACAAGAATGGTGAGCAAAAATCCCAGAACCACACGGGGGGACCTAGTGAATGACCTGCAGAGAGCTGGGACCAAAGTGACAAAGCCTACCATCAGTAACACACTACGCCGCCAGGGACACAAATCCTGCAGTGCCAGACGTGTCCCCCTGCTTAAGCCAGTACATGTCCAGGCCCGTCTGAAGTTTGCTAGAGTGCATTTGGATGATCCAGAAGAGGATTGGGAGAATGTCAGATGAAACCAAAATATATTTTTGGTAAAAACTCAACTCGTCGTGTTTGGAGGACAAAGAATGCTGAGTTGCATCCAAAGAACACCATACCTACTGTGAAGCATGGGGGTGGAAACATCATGCTTTGGGGCTGTTTTTCTGCAAAGGGACCAGGACGACTAATCTGTGTAAAGGAAAGAATGAATGGGGCCATGTATCGTGAGATTTTGAGTGAAAACCTCCTTCCATCAGCAAGGGCATTGAAGATGAAACGTGGCTGGGTCTTTCAGCATGACAATGATCCCAAACACACCGCCCGGGCAACGAAGGAGAGGCTTCGTAAAAAGCATTTCAAGGTCCTGGAGTGGCCTAGCCAGTCTCCAGATCTCAACCCCATAGAAAATCTTTGGAGGGAGTTGAAAGTCTGTGTTGCCCAGCGACAGCCCCAAAACATCACTGCTCTAGAGGAGATCTGCATGGAGGAATGGGCCAAAATACCAGCAACAGTGTGTGAAAACCTTGTGAAGACTTACAGAAAACGTTTGACCTGTGTCATTGCCAACAAAGGGTATATAACAAAGTATTGAGAAACTTTTGTTATTGACCAAATACTTATTTTCCACCATAATTTGCAAATAAATTCATAAAAAATCCTACAATGTGATTTTCTGGATTTTTGTTTCTCATTTTGTCTGTCATAGTTGACGTGTACCTATGATGAAAATTACAGGCCTCTCTCATCTTTTTAAGTGGGAGAACTTGCACAATTGGTGGCTGACTAAATACTTTTTTTCTCCACTGTATGTAACTCTGTGTTGTTGTTTTTATCGCACTGCTTTGCTTTATCTTGGCCAGGTCGCAGTTGTAAATGAGAACTTGTTCTCAACTGGCTTACCTGGTTAAATAAAGGTGAAATAAAATAAAAATAAATAAAGATTCAGAATATTTTCGGCGGGACGCGTGAGGGGCGTTTCCATTGTTTTGTTCGAGTTCGATTGATCTCTTTCACACATGTATACCGCAGAAACAAACACTGAGTATACAAAACATGCTCTTTCCATGACAGACTGACCAGGTGAATGCAGGTGAAAGCTATGATCCCTTATTGATGTCACTTGTTAAATCCACTTCAATCAGTATAGATGAAGGGGAGGAGACAGGTTAGTGAAGGATTTTTAAGTCTTGAGACAATTGAGACATGGATTGTGCATGTGTGCCATTCAGAGGGTGAATGGGCAAAACAAAAGATTTAAGTGCCTTTGAACGGGGTATGGTAGTAGGTGCCAGGTGCACCGGTTTGTGTCAAGAACTGCAACGCTGCTTGATTTTTCATGCTCAACAGTTTTCTGTGTGTCTCATGAATGGCCCACTACCCAAAGGACATCCAGTCAACTTGACACAACTGTGGGAAGCATTGGATTCAACATGGGCCAGCATCCCTGTGGAACGCTTTCGACACCTTGTAGAGTCCATGGCCTGACGAATTGGGGGGGGGAGTTGCATTTTCAACTCTACCGATTAGTTTTGTCACAAAAACTGTTGCATTAAATAGCAAATGGGCCTATTCTAGTCTTGGCACATGCACTCTAGCCAACAGCTGGCAGATACAGTGCGGGTAGTCTACATGATGAGATTATTATGGATAAGAGCGAGAATATTTATTTGTCAAACGGCAGTCAAGCTTCGATCATCATGTCACCAGAATAAAATTGTCCCAAAACTTCCATCACAGCTGTCATGATTTTTTACTTTACTCGCATAAAAACTGTGGATGGAAACATGGTTATTGACTCAAATATAAACAACCTTGTATACTCTCTCTCATATCACATAATATTGTAGGAACACCAATGCAAATACAAAAAGATCCACGGAGTCGCATATGAGTCACACTCATAACTACATCACAGTAGCCTACTTTTCAGAAAGTACCTGCGAGAAAGACAAAACATTGATTGTGAGTTAGTATCCCAAGGAAAAGGCAGAAAACGGAGACATCTCTTCAATTTGCATAATCCTTGAAATCATCAAACAACAGTCCTTCAGGCAGCCTTGAAGGTTGAAGGGGTGGGTGGAGTATTCCTTCATATAAGAAGGGAAACAGACCATTGCGGCAGGAGGAGGTGAGTTAGAGGGGTATTAGCTCATCACTCAGTTTTTTATGGAGGTACTTTAGCTGATACAAGGATTAATTTAACACCCAGCGCAGGGTAATATCCCACAAACACCTCATTCAGGAGATTAATTCCAAGCTGTGACAAAGCTTTCTCGCTGAAATTTCCTCCAAGACAACGGTAGGTCGACTCAAGGAAAAGATTAATTGGTTAGTTTGGTTCACAATGCAGGGTAAATGGAGGGTAAAATCATCTTAATTAAACACTGATGATCTTTATGTGGTACCATGACTGAGCACAGCCAACACACACACACAATGGAGACTACGGATAGAGTCGTAGCAGTATGTTTCGTACAGTGATGGTAAATGATCCATTGTAAATGATTGCACCCACCAAAGCAGACAACATTAGCTCACTTGGCTAAAGCCTCACTCTCTAGTGCTGCTCCACATGCTTAAAGCACTTGCCACTTAAACTAACGTTGAAATTGAAGCTTGTTTCAAAGCAACAGCACTTAAACCAGTAGTTTACCTCGGTAGAGGAACATGAGTGTCTCCCACAGGCACAGGCACAGCAGTGGGTCCTTCACCACCAGGCGTGATAGCCGTCCGGCCAGATGCCCGTCAGGCCGCGACCCGTCCTCCATGCCCAGGCCCCCATCCCAGGTGGAGAGCAGCGATGGGGGGCCTCCATCCCCCCGGCCGTCCCCCCGGCCATCCCCCCGGCAGGCGCAGCGTGATATGGGCCTCTCCCTGGCCTTGGGGCCCAGCAGCAGCTGTCTGAAATAGGGGCTGACGGCACAGAGCACAGCGGCGTGCCCCCAGCCCAGTTCCTTCCCAGAGTCCCCGGAGTAGAAGGCCACGTCGGCGAACTGGATGCCACGCTCCAGCAGCCACTGTAGGTCCTTAGAGAAGCTGGACTCCTCCACTCGGATGGGGGGAAGACGCGCTGAAGGGATGGAGTGAGGGATGGGTTCAGTAAAGAGAGAAAAGGGAAAAGGGAAGAGTAAAAGCACAGAGGGAAAATGGGAAGAGTAAGTGTCAACATCGTTACGTATGCAGCTCCGATGGATTAAAAAGGGGGAAGGTTAGAGAGAGAGAGATCAAGAGAAAGAGAGAAAGAAACAGAGAGAGAGAGAATGGAAGGGAGAAGGTTGAAAGAGGGGGCGAAAGAATAAAGGATTGATGAGGAAAAAAAGAGAGGGAGAACAGAAAGATGATCAGACAGTTAGCTTAGGGAGTTGGGCGTGGCAACGAGGGATGAGGGAAAAGCAGAGACTTAAGTAGAAGAGAAACAGAGCGAGAGACAGAGGAGGGGGTTCCTAGTGTGAAGCTATGTAAATCACTGTCCTATTATAAACCTATTAATGCTTAATCCACGCTGTCCCCCTGTGCACCTCATCACTTTTTTATGGCCACTCTGTTTTAGCCTGGTATACAGGCAAGGCTGTCCAGGAATCAATGCACTTCATATTTCATGGACTGTACACTATAAAGAGAGAAAGTTAAGTAGTTGGACGGGCACCAGCCAACCCAGCCCACCCACGCACCCACTTTGGCAGTGTTGCTCTTATCTGTCAATCACCAAGTCAAAGTTCATCAGACATAGTGGCTAAATGGCAAGGATGCTATATTCAGTATGTTAACTGTAGCTTAGCCGTGTGTTCTTATTTTTTATATTTGTTTAGTAATTTTAGCCCCCTTTTTTCTCCCCAATTTCGTGATTACGATCTTGTCTCATCGCTGCAACTCCCCAATGGGCTCGGGAGAGGCGAAGGTCGAGTCATGCGTCCTCCGAAACATGACCCGCCAAGCCGTGCTTCTTAACACCCGCTTGCTTAACCCGGAAACCAGCTGCACTAATGTGTTGGAGGAAACACTGTTCAACTGACGACCGAGGTCAGCCTGCAGGCGCCCGGCCCGCCACAAGGAGTCACTAGAGTACGATGAGCCAAGTAAAGCCCCCCGGCGAAACTCTCCCCTAACCCGGACGACGCTGGGCCAACTGTGCGCCGCCCTATGGGACTCCCGGTCACGGCCGGCTTAGCCGTGTGTTCCATTTCTGTGTCCATGAACATAGATAGATGTAATATTTGTAATAACACATTTACAGGAATAAAGACAAAAATAATGAACACTATAGGGTGAAGGGCTGACTAACAGATCATTCGAAACTTTGATAAAGCAATAAAAGTCTATATTCTATATATAGTAAAGGAAGAAAATTGTCCACTCACTGTTTGCTACTCCAAAATGTGATCTTCTATTGAAGCGACAACGTTTCAACAATGTTTCAACCAACATGATATGATCTTCGTCACTTGAGTATTGTTGTACTATCACTAAGCTTCACTAACTCTTCTTTAGGAGCAGCAAACGGTGAGTCTGCATTCATTTTCATTGCTTTATTTGTCCAGCTCCTGTGCCATGTTTGGATGTGCGCAATTACTCTCTTTTCATAATTCAAAATTAAGCCCATGAGCCAAAAATAGCCCTGGCGTTCTCATCTCAGATCTCACAAACCTTGGATCCATGCAATAATAAATCCCTAAAAGTAATGAATCTATTATATTGGAGCAATTGTCGAAGAAATCTTAACACTATTCCACTAACCTGTGTCTGCTATAGGTGTGGTTAAAACTTCAACTGTGTATTTGGTTGGTTATTAAAGAGTCACATACGGTTGGGTGATTTGGAAAAAATTGAAAATATAATTTAAGTCAACAATAATATCTAGTAGCATGTTAACAATAACAGTAGCATGTGCAGAGAGAACAAGAAAGGGTTGATAATTGATCCCTGAGGAACACCACAAGTAAAGTTGATATAATACATAGACACATAGAAATTATTTAAAGGGGGCCCTCATATTGCATTGCCAGTCTCTCACCTGGCTGTTCCAGATGAGGGGGATGGGGCTCATTCATCTTGTTGCCCCGCCTCTTCTCTGGCCTCTCTTTGGCCTTCTGCTTCAAACACTGAATCATGAAGTACTCCAGCTGAATACATACACAAACACACGCTAGTTAGCATAAACCCACACACACCAATAGAACATTTTAATCACATAGCAGCCAGTCCCCATTACATTTACATTTACATTTTAGTCATTTAGCAGACGCTCTTATCCAGAGCGACTTACAGGAGCAATTAGGGTTAAGTGCCTTGCTCAAGGGCACATTTACGTCATTTAGCAGACCCCATTCTTATCTTCACTAGCACTAGGGCCAATAACATAATACTTTGCCATCTGCATCATCAATGATGAATGATAACATAGATCACACCAATCATAAATCACACCATCAAACAATATATTCAGTTAATAACTGGCTTACCACGCTGCCAAAGTAGCGACCCACAAAGACGTGGTTGAGGGAGGGCAGCTCCAGGTAAGTGGCCCCCAGGTCCCTAGAGAGCTGCAGGCCCTCACTATGGGGGACACAGCTGCTCCAGTCTGATGCACACAGGGGGCACGTGCAGGGGGGCCCCTCATCTGGACAGTGAGGGGACAGGGAAGAGGTGAGTGAGACAGGACAACAGTTAGCTCCTCTACACGCACACATGCAAAATAATTAGGTATTACCCACAGAACTTCCAGCAGAACATCTCAAGATTTGATTTTATCCATCAAAGATATAACAACATACTGAAATTCAGACCGATTTACAATGCATGCACATAGGCACACCCTGCATGTGCATACTGCAGCCTACATGCAGAGAGTGAGAATATGAAGAGAAAATTACAGGGAAATGCAGGGAGGAGTAAAGACATATAGAAACAGCATAAAAGTAGAGAAGGAGCCAGAGAGAGAGACAGAAAGAGTGAGGCGGTCTGCTCATTGCCAAATGCAAGGGATAAATCACTCTGCTAATAAAACTACAGGCATAGAGTGAAAGCTAGACACTGTTTGTGGTGTGTGTGTACAGTATGTGACGTGCCCTGAAATGATTCTGCCCTAGGTGGTCTCCTAACAAAGGCAACAGGAAACACAGCTGTCATTAGCATAGACAATAAAGCAGCGACAAAACAACACAAAAACATAGTGTCAGGTCCACCACTATCCCTCAAGCCCCCCTCTCTCACCACCAAAGAGTTATCAAATACTATTATCATCTTGCAATGAAGCTCTGGCAAGATCTAAAAGCATCTCACTGAGCTAAAAAGTAACCCATCACGAATGTGGTGTATTTGTTTACACCACTGAAATAAAAATGACTTTTGGTGACGGATATAGACATTAAAGTGTGCTTGATGGTTAATACTTTGCTAGTTTAATAACACCGACCTGGGAAATGCTACATGTCACAATGTACCACTCAAAGATTTACTGTAGTTTTGTGTGTGTCAGGTTTTGGACTTTACCTACTTCTTTCTTGCACCATATTATGCTTGGTTTGTTTGTTGTTTTAGCCACAAAGACACATTACTTAGAGTCAAAAGCCTGGGGCCTGTTTGAGATTTGATCATAAGATGAGCATCATCCTCTTAACTGAGAGTACAGGGAAAAGACAAATCCACTCCTTCAGCCATTTTCCCTGCTCCTACAGTATTTAATGTAGCAATCGTTTGGTAAGCCATATTTGTAAAATGTGCAAATATAAAGATCAATTAATTAAGACTATTTCAAAAGACCCAAAATGATGTGATTTTTGGATGATATTAGTTTGAATCGTAACAACAGAGTTATGTCAGATGTCATAAACATGGTTGGATGAATAGTGTGAGAGGCCACATAACCAATCATTGTCAGTATTTCTATACAGGAAGTGCTATGAGGCAAAACTTCACCACTTGACTCATGATACAAAATATAATCTTAATTTAACCAGGCAGGTCAATTAAGATGTTTTATTTATTTACCATGACGACCTGGCATGTGGTAAGTGCATGGCAATACAGCACAAGAAGACACAACAGGTCAAAATGGTGGTGTGGTCAAGGATAGACCAATGGGATCTCACCGTTTAGGCGGGCGCCCACAGCAACCAAAATGACGGGCACGCCCCAGTGACGTAGCAGGGGGCGGAGTCTAGGGGCATAACCGTTGCGCACCTGCTGGAAGGCCAGCTTGTCGTTGATCGAGTACTTGATGACCAGGATGTCAGCCTGTTCTAGAACGCTCCGCACACTGGCCCAGTCACTGTCCAACAGATCCTGTCCACACACAGAGTACATACACACATTTTAAATACTTTCTTTGAATCCACAAATCATATTACAGTCGAGAAGGATTCAAACATTTTAGAGGACACGGATATCTGGACAGTTATGGATACAGAAAGCACCTCCTTCTCCAAACAGCTAGGCTGCCCATGACAGCTGACACTGAGCAGTAGCTTGCTAGCTGCTTTGCCTTTGTCCTATACAGTCCTGCAATCTGAAGGCCATGTACTGTCATGGCCGAGACTCCCAAATATCTGCACTACAAGTTTGCACTGATAACCAAGGCTGTTTAAGCGTGACACAAGGTGCTGGTGTTTTCAGTATACAAGAAAACAGATCAACATCAAACCAGCCTCCTCTTACAAGATAATGTTTGTGAATTTGCAATGTCTGTCACACACACATCTCGAATGCATCAACATTATAGGGCCCGTTTCCCGGATCCAGTTTAAGCCTCATCCCCCCTTAAAATAACTGTTAATTGAGACTTGTGATCAGTCTCCATCAGACCTGGGTTCAAATACTATTTGAAATAATTTCAATTACTTTAGCTGGTCTTGATTCAGCTTGCCTGGCTTAAAGACACCAATAGAATGGTCTCAAAACTTCATACCCCGCACATATGGGACTCCAGACAGACTAAAGCCAACGCTCACATATTTGAAAGATTTCAAATAGTATTTGAACCCAGGTCTGGCCTAAACTAGCCAGGCCACAAAGGTTCTATACCGGCAAAAGATTGAAAATAGTAACAGTAGTACGCTTAATTACATGCTATCTCAGCTATGCTATCGCATCATCTACAGCAGTGGTTCCCAACCTGTGGGGTGCGCAAGGGGTCAGCGGGGGGGCCAACCCCTCCGGCTTTCAATTAACTCTTAAAAGTTGTAATAGTAGAATGCACAAGGTGCAATTTCGAAATTGGGTAGTGCATAATCAGTTTTCCACTTGTCATGTCAGTCATTGCATACCTTAGACAGCTATTTATAACTTGTCAGAAATGTTCAGATCAACTAGCCCATGTCAGCTAACCTTTTTTAGATAGGTGTTTTAGCCCATAGATGTTGTTGTAATGTTTGAGTCACTTAAATATCACATGAATACACATTAAACATATCAAAATGTATAGAAATGCTAGAAAATGAGCATTAAAACTGCAAAATTTTCTCTCTACCAACAAGAAGGGGTGTGAACAGTTTGTGTCATGAACAGTGCTTGTGCCCATAGAAATAGATGTGGCACGTGCGCGGAGAGGGGGGGGGGGGGGGGGGGGGGGGGGCCTGAGTGAAAGAGTTTGGGAACCCCTGAACAGTACATTCATTTTTACGCCCTCTGAGAAGAAGTGGTTAGATTTGTTCCGCTGCCCTTGCTGAAAACATTTTTGGAATTCAAAATGTGTGTGCATCTCAAGAGCGCTCCTCACACTCAAGGCAACCAGGTAAACAAAACACAAACAGAGGCTGGCAGACTGACTCACTCACTTCTTTACAATGACAATGTTCTTCTGACCAAACAAATGCCTTTCTTCCCTGCCTGCTTATTGGACTGGCTTGGACCCTGATAACCTCCATCTGTCTCCACTAATGAAATCTATTCTGAAAGGGAAAAGATTTGCCACCGTTGAGGAGAAGACAAAGCTCAGGAAAGTAGACTAACAGTGAAATTCTTACTTAAGTGCCCTTCCCAACAATGCAGAGAAAAACTGAGAAATAATAGAAAAATAATCACCCACCCCATCAGCTCCAGAGCCTAAACGCACACACACACACACACACACACACACACACACACACTTACCCAGCTAGGGCAGTCCTGCACCACCACAGTGACGTCTCCAAAAACGTGGGACGTGTACTCCATGAAGGCCGGGTTGGACAGGCTGCTCTCCTCAGGCCCTCCGGCCATGGCGCCGTGGCCCAAATAACTCCACAGCAGGCCCCCCTGGAGCTGGCCCTGACCCATGGCCTCTTCTCCTGGCCCCACTCCCCCGGGGCACTCACTGCCCAGCGCAACAATATGAATGGACCTGTAAGCAAAGCACACCAGATGGGGGGACACAGTCAGAGTCAGACCCATTAGGAACCAGACAAGCAGAGATGGGCTGACAGATTGTGTTTGCTGCCTGGTACACTATGGGTGTAGATAAGGTGAATGTGATGTGTCTCTCAAATGCAGTGAGGGATGCAGCAAAGAAGGGAATTAGGGGGGAAGTCAGGTGAACGTGTCTTAATACTTTGACTGTGAGAGATGCAGCAAGGAGGGAATTAACAAGTGCCTTTCCCCCTTATTATACATGTCTATCACGGAGGCACTGCATCACGTTGTGTCATTGAGCCATTGAGCGAATGACACTGACTGGCGTTGCTCTGTCGGATTTTTTTAGATTCAAAAATAATTGAGAATTGCATTATTATTATTACTACTATGTCATTATCCTATTCATAGCCCATTGTTGGCAAAACATGCGTGGTACAAGCATACAGTAGAAACGCGGCAGTAAAGTAGGCTACCTCGTCTTTTGCATCAATTCATGAGGTGCAGACAGCAACTTACATGGTCACCACGGTTTTCCGCTGGTCAATGCCTCTTGAGCACGTTCTCCCACCGTGCGTTTTCACATGGGTCCGCAGTGAGAGGCTTTTCCGCAATGAGTACCGGGTATGGGGACGCTAATCCCTCATATCGGTGACTCGCTCCCCGCGACCGCGGTTGGAGAGTTTCACAATCCCGTGTATTTCCTTCTCGTTGTTCATTCATAAAGCAAAACCTCTTACAGTTTACGGTAATGTAACGGAACGTAAACACCACTGGTTGGATCCAGCCGGCGACGTGGACTACCAATGCCCTAAAAAATAAACAACTTGTCAATGGGTTAAAAAAATTACAACTAAACGACGTGGAGAAACCAGAACCTCGATATTCGTTGCGTTTATGCCACCGCTTTATCCAATGAAAATTGACGTCGCTGGGCAGAGGAAGAAAAGTGGGGAGGTAATGTACGGAGAGAGCGAGAGAGACTGGAAGAGAGCAACAGACCGTGCTGATGGAGAGAGTGGACGCGCCTGACTCAGCAGTAAACACTACACGCGCGCACGCACGCCAACAGCAGCACACATCTACATCCACAAATGACGCGCAGCGCAAATTGCATTGTTATGTCCTTACCTCATTACGCGAACCTCTCCACACACGCACTGTGTTTTCTCCAGACTGTATTTTTTTTTTTTTATCTCGCCCGTTGGTTGACCTAATCTTATTTATTCTCATTATTCCAACTCCCATTATTAATTGATGCAAGGGATGGAGATTAGATTAGCATTATTCAGTGGCTGTGAACACAAATAAATCCTAACAAAATTAGATTAGGAGGGATCATCTTTAAAACATGGAACATCGACAAAGTGACAAACAATCCTCTATTGTAGGCTAATCGACCACTCCAACATTGTCTCTCGGGATCATGTATAACGAAAAGGCTAATTTACTCTCCCAATGTATGGAATTGACTTGTAATACTTGAAGTCGTGACATAATTGCCAATAGGGCCTATATACCAAGACACCATGTGCACACCAAGACATGCTGCCCTATACAATGATAATGAAGAAGTGTTGAAGTGGGCTATTATGCTGATTAAGCTTGAGTCGGTGGAATAATTGGTGTTAGGATTGATGCGGTGTGATACTGTAGTCAATTCTAATGAGTTATGTGCAGTATAAGTAGTCTCTAGGACCTAAGGGGGTTGTTCACTGTGAGGGATTGACCTGAAGACAATAGGCCTAACTGTAATAGAGGTTGTTTGGTGAACCACGCTCAGATAATAACCTTGCCTGAGTGAGACCTGAAGACTTGCGTTGACTCCCAGAGCTAATGCCTATACAAAAAAAGTTATTTTATTGTCACATACACCAGAAAGGTGCATGTGTTGTTTTACAGGGTCACCCATAGTAGTACAGTGCCCTTGGAGCAAATTAGGGTAAAGTGCCTTGCTGAAGGGCACATCGACAGACTTTTCACCTTGTTGGCTCTGGTATTCGAACTAGCGACCTTTCGGTTACTGGCCCAACACTCTAACCGCTAGGCTACCTGCCGCCCTTTAGCTCAGTGGGCTAACACAGTCCGATCCCGCAGTCACAGTGGTGTTCTGCCTTGGATGGATCTTTGCGAAGAAGAAGAGGTCAAAGGGAGGTGAAGTGTAACGCACGTGTTTCGGATTGTGTGATGTGTAGGCTTTAGTTCAGTGGGCTAACACAGTCTTCTGATGTATGAAAGACCATGGTTCCAACCATAGCCGTGGGAAGTAGTTTGGGGGTGGGGGTGCTGCAATGTTTCACTATTATTATTATTATTATTTTTGTTTATTTTCTATTCTGATTTTTTCAGGGGTGCTGCAACACCCTCAGAACCCCTACTTCCCACGGCTGTGGTTCCAACCCTGTTGATGCAGAGGAGTCAAAGACCTTCACTATGACTGACATAGCAAATCATGTTTTATATTTTATATTCATGTCTTCAGAAGAAAGAGTTGCAAACTTTGCACTCAAATGCTAAGCAACTTTGTCCTTGTCTTGGAACCAAATATACACATTTAGAAAAGAGGGTTCCATCTTTTAGTGATAATTAAAATGTAGGTGTGGCGGCTCATTTGAATATTTTGGGGCATGGTTTGTGCACAGCTCTTTTTGTGCAACCGTGAGTGAGAGTGACATTGTAGTTTATCTAATCTGTTGTGTTATATCATTATATGCTACATATCATATGGCTGGTAATGGTGGCTTGTGAAATACTCATGTAAGGCATTGTGTCACTTCAGAATTGCATTGTGTCACTTAAAAATTGTTGACTAAATCAGTGGTTCTCAATCCTCTCCCCAGGGACCGCCGGCCAGCACACGATTCAACTTGTCAATTCACAATAATAACACCTATGGAATTTTAACACTATAATATGGCTAACCAGAAGGAAAAAAACCCTGTATGGGTCTCCAAAAGGTTTTGTCGTGGAAGTTCTTGCACAGGGACACTCAAAGTCAATCTTAAATTAATAATTGTTTATTGTCAGCGCTCTGGAGAGGTTCCAACAAACTTAATGCACCATAGTGAGTGTCTGTCAGAAGCTCTAACGGGGCAGTCCCGTTAGTTCCCTTATATTCTGACAAGGTACATTTGCATGATTTAGCTTATTAATCATTCATAATTAATGTTTGCTTCATTCATGTGACGATCAATACTGGGTCATGCATGTGACAGACCAATATCTCACAAGGCTTATTCTCGGCAGGCTAGCTGGACATCCTGGTGTATTCCGCTACGCGCGGGGAGCATGTGTCCCTGGTTCGCAAAGTGCTGGTCCGACTGTTGGAAAATGACCTTTATGCCAAGACAGAGAAGTGTATGTTTTTCCAGCAGTCCGTCTCCTTACTCGGATACCGCATTACCACCTCAGGTGTGGAGATGGAGGGAGATCGCATTTCAGCCGTGCGTAATTGGCCAACTCCAACCACGGTTAAGGAGGTGCAGCGCTTCCTTGGCTTTGCCAACTACTATCGGAAGTTTATCCGGGGCTTTGGCAAGGTCGCAGCTCCCATTACATCCCCGTTGAAGGGTGGGCCGTCCCGGCTCCGCTGGTCTGCTGAGGCTGACCTGGCCTTCGGGAGACTGCGGGGTCTGTTCACCTCAGCCCCGGTACTGGCCCACCCCAATCCATCACTACCGTTCGTAGTGGAGGTGGATGCATCCGAGGTAGGGATAGGCGCTGTCCTATCCCAATGCTCGGGCACACCACCCAAACTCCGCCACTGTGCCTTCTTCTCTAAGAAGCTCAGCCCGGTGGAGCAGAACTATGACGTTGGTGATCGGAAGCTGTTGGCTGTTGTCCGAGCTTTGACCGTGTGGAGGCATTGGCTCGAAGGGGCGAAATACCCTTTCCTCGTCTGGACGGACCACCGTAACCTGGAGTACATCCGGGCAGCGAGGAGGCTGAATCCTCGCCAGGCCAGGTGGGCCCTATTCTTCACCCGGTTTGATTTTACACTGTCATACATTCTGGGTACGAAGAACGTGAAGGCAGACACACTGTCCCGGCTGTATGACACAGAGGAGAGGCCCAGAGACAACACCCCCATACTCCCGGCCTCCTGCATTGTGGCGCCGGTAGTATGGGCGATGGACGCAGATATAGAGCAGGAATTACGCACAGATGCATCTCCACCTCAGTGTACAGCTGGGCTGCGGTACGTGCCTGCTCTTCTCCGTGATCGTCTGATCTTCTGGTCACACACGTCACCCTCCTCTGGTCACCCAGGTATCGGTCGTACAGGGCGCTGCCTGATCGGAAAGTACTGATGGCCTACCATGGCTCGGTTTGCGCCCAGAGTAAGGCACCTAGGCACCTCCCAGCAGGTAAGTTACAACCTTTACCAGTTCCACAATGACCATGGTCTCACCTTAGTGTTGATTTCTTGACTGATCTTCCCCTCTCCCAAGGTAACACCACCATCCTGGTAGTTGTGGACCGCTTTTCCAAGTCCTGCCGCCTCCTTCCTCTGCCAAGTCTCCCCACGGCCCTGCAGACTGCGGAGGCCCTGTTTACTCACATCTTCCGGCACTACGGGGTGCCAGAGGATATAGAGTCCAACCGAGGTCCCCAGTTCACGTCCAAGGTTTGGAAGGCGTTCATAGAACGTCTGGGGGTCTCGGTCAGCCTGACCTCTGGGTTCCACCCCGAGTCAAATGGGCAGGTGGAACGGGTAAATCAGGATGTGGGTAGGTTCCTGCGGTCCTACTGCCAGGACCGGCCAGGGGAGTGGTCAGTGTTCTTGCCATGGGCAGAATATGCCCAGAACTCTCTCCGCCACTCCTCTACTAACCTAACGCCATTCCAATGTGTTTTAGGTTACCAACTGGTTCTGGCACCGTGGCACCAGAGCCAGACCAAGGCTCCTGCGGTGGATGACTGGTTTCGGCGCGTGGAGGAGACGTGGGACGCTGCCCACATTCACCTCCAGCGCACCGTGCGTCGTCAGAAGGCCAACGCTGACCATCACCGCAGTGAGGCCTCGGTCTTCGTATCGGGGGATCAGGTCTGGCTCTCGACCCGGAATCTGCCCCTCCGCCTGCCCTGCCGGAAGCTGAGCCCGCGGTTTGCCGTTCAAAGTCCTGAGGAGAATCAACAAGGTCACTTATAGCTTATTACTTCCCCCTGATTGCCGTATTAACCCCTCATGTGTCTCTCCTCAGGCCGGTGGTGGTTGGTCTGCTCCAGGAGTCTGAGGTGCGGGAGGTTCCTCCACCTCCTTTGGACATCGAGGGGGCCCCGGCGTACTCTGTCTGTTCCATCCTGGATTCGAGGCGTCAGGTGGGGGGCCTTCAGTACCTCATAGAGTGGGAGGGGTACGGTCCGGAGGAATGGTGCTAGGTTCCGGTGAGGGATATCCTCGATCCCTCCCTGTTGCGGGATATCCACCGTCGCCATCCGGCTCGCCCTGCTCCGCGTCCTCCTGGCCGTCCTCGAGGCCGGGGTCGGCACGCTGCTGGAGCTGCGCGTCAAGGGGGGGGTACTGTCACGACTTCCGGCGAGGCTGCCTCCCCTCCTTGTTTGGGCAGGCTTCGGCGTTCGTCGTCACCGGCTTACTAGCCACTGCCGCTCCATTATTCATCATTCCATTTGT